TTCAGTGAGGCCTGGGGGCCTTGGCATGAGCTGGCACCTGGTCTGCCAGCGTCACAGGGCCTTGCTGCTTCCTCGGCCTATGACCTCCGCAAGGAGGGACTCAGCGGGAATGGCACTGTGGCGCACTGGAGTCCCATTCCCCCCAGTCCCCCTCTGTCCTCTCCCCATGGGGCGTGGGAGTCTTCTCTGCAGCTCCTACCAAATGGGTCCAAGGGCTGCTGCACCCAAGTGCCCTGCCCCGAGCACCCCACCCCTTCCCTCTGTGCCTTGTTAGCCCATTGCAGCACCCTCGCCAGGGGCCAGATGAGACTTCTTCCCTGTGTGCCCCTCCCCCGCCACCCCCCAGGGCTGCATGGCTGTTGGGCAGGTGGGATGGCAGGCCCACACCCCGCCCCGAGCCAGGTGCATATCCAGGGTGCTGGGAGTCAGAACTAGGGAACATGGGGAGGGGTTGGTTCCCATGGAATTGGGGGAATTTTATGCTGGGCTGTGGCTCTGCTGACGTTAGTGGGGTGCTCCTGAGAGTTCAGGCTCAGCCGGAGCTGTAAGCTGTCCCTCAGGTCTCCTGGCCGCCTATCTGTGGGTGCGCACCTTGGGGGCAGGCCTGCCCCTCACCCTGGTGCTGGGGCTGACGTTCCTCTCTGTCCTCCGCCCCCACCTCCCCAACAGGACGTCAGCCTTCACTTCGTGCTGTGGGGCTGCCTGCATGTCTACCAGCACATGATCGACAAGGCGGAGGATGTGTGCCTCTTCCTGACGCAGCCCGGAGAGATGGTGGGCCAGCTGGCTGTGCTGACCGGGAAGCCCCTCATCTTCACCATCAAGGCCAACCGTGACTGCACCTTCTTCAAGATCTCCAAGTCGGACTTCTACGAGTTGGTGTCCCCCTTCCCTTCCTCATCCTGCGGGCAGGCTCTGCCCACCTCCCACCCCACTTCCATCTAGACTGGTGGCCCTGCCCTGGGCCAGATTGGGGCCAGTGCCCCCTAGAGGGGAAAGGCACCGTGTCCCATTCCCCACCCCCATAAACCAGCCAATCCCCTGCCCTGGGGCTGGATTGGAGAAGCCGCCCCCTAGAGGGGAAAGGCCCCATGTCCTAGTCCTCTAATCGTGCACCTGTTGCATGGGCCTGGATTCTCCTGCCCTGGGCTGTGATCTGTCCTGGTGCCATGTTTTCTTGGCTGGCTCTGTTTCAGAGGAGGTGGGTGACTCAGGGAGGGGGCGGCTGCAGTCAGCAGCGCACTGGCAGCAACGGGGCCACCTGTGCACTGACGAGCTGCCCACTCTCTCCCCAGAATCATGCAGGAACAGCCCAGTGTGGTGCTGAGTGTCACCCATACTGTGGCCGCCCGCATGTCCCCATTCGTGCGCCAGATGGACTTTGCCATCGACTGGATGGCGGTGGAGGCCGGACGGGCCTTGTACAGGTGAGTGAGGCCTGTACTGTGGGGCTGCTGGGAGACCCTGGCTGGGGACTCCCAGCTTCTCTGCCTAGCCCAGGGCACACTGGGACCAACTCGCCATGCTGTGTTTAACCCCTTCCGCGCCAGGGTAGTGCCCCCCCACCCCTTACTCTCAGCCTCATCCATGCCCTTCCTGCAGCAAAAATGACTCAGGCATCCCAGCGCTCTGGGCGGGCGCTGTCCAGGCCAGCAGCCGTGTTGTTTCCAGAGGGGCCAGGCGAGACCTGACCAGCTGCCTCTGACCCCTCCATGGGACTCAGGTTTTCACCTGGGCTGACCTGACTTCAACCCCTTCCTGGCTGCAGGTGTTGGATTGAGAGCAGCCCGGGTGCTCTGGGGATGGGGGTGTCCCAGCCCAGAGCAGGTGCCAGCTGGGGTTGTCAGACTCGCCGCTCACTGCACGCACTGTCCCAGCCCAGGTGGTAGGGGGCGCTCTCCCTGGGGCAGACACCGGCTAAGCTGGCTGACTCACCACTCGCTGCATGTGCTCTCCAGGCAGGGCGACAAGTCCGACTGCACCTACATCATGCTGAATGGGCGTCTGCGCTCTGTCATCCAGAAAGGCAGTGGCAAGAAGGAACTGGTCGGGGAGTACGGTCGTGGTGACCTCATTGGAGTGGTGAGCTTCCTCCGAGGGCACTGCTGGGGTGGGCCCTATCACTGCTTTGCACTCTCCCACCAAGGGTATGGGGCCGATCTCTGCAGACAGCACTGGGGTGGTAGGTGGGCCCCTCTCTTAGGCTTGTTGTGGTGATGAACAGCTGCAAGTCATAGGTGCTCAGGCCAGGCTGCTCCAAGGGTGCATCCAAGGGGTACAGTGTCCATTCCCTGCTTCTCCAGACCCTCCTGGTTTGGGTGCGAGGCAGATCGTCACCCTCTGCTGCTAGCATGTGGCACTCCACCTCCAGCCAGCGACTGTCCCTTATGCTCTTACGCTGCTGGCTGCTCCTGGGACATGGATTGGCCTAGTATTGGGGACTGGCAGAGGAGTCTCCGGGCTGGTCTGAGGAGGGTGGGGCTGGGCATCAAGACTCCTGGGTTCTCTTCCCAGCTTGGGAAGGGCTAGTGCAGGGGTGGCCAACCTGAGTCCGAGAAGGAGCCAGAATTTACCAATGTGCATTGCCAAAGAGCCACAGTAATACGTCAGCAGCTCTGGGGGAGGAGGGAGGAGCGAGGGCATGGCAGGCTCAGGAGAGGGGGTGGAAAGGGGTGGAGTGGGGGCAGGAGCTGTGGCAGAGCCGGGGGTTGAGCAGTGAGCACCCCCGGCACATTGGAATGTTAGTGCCTGTAGCTAACAGAGTTGGCGCCTATACAAGGAGCCACATATTAACTTCTGAAGAGCCGCATGTGGCTCCGGAGCCACAGGTTGGCCACCCATGGGCTAGTGGGTTAGAACAGAGAGCCAGGACGGCGGGGTTCTGTACCTCTCCCGGTGCCTCTCCCTATGATGCCAGGCAGACCTTGGGCTGGGAGGGCGAAGGACTCCCCTCCCTGGTCTCTAATGTGGCCTGTGTGCTCTTCTCTAGGTGGAAGCTCTGACCAGGCAGCCCCGAGCCACCACCGTGAGAGACACAGAGCTGGCCAAGCTGCCCGAGGGCACTCTGAACAACATTAAGCGCAGATACCCCCAGGTACCGGGGCAGGGTGGGTGCCATCCCTCCCTGCAGGAAACAGCCCATCCCAGTGCCTCAGCTGGCCACCTTGTGGGTGCTGCTCTCCAGGCAAGGGCAGCCAGGGTGGGGGCAAGTTGTGGTGAAGCAGGAGCTGACCTCTTGGGGAGAAAGCTGCCCAAGAGGTAGGCCTGAGAACCATACCACCACCAGGAGGAGGCAGATCTACATGACTGGGGACTTCCCTACTAAGGGTATGTCTACACTACGAAATTAGGTCGAATTTATAGAAGCCGGTTTTATAGAAATCGGTTTATACGGTCTATTGTGTCTGTCCCCACATAAAATGCTCTAAGTGCATTAAGTTGGCGGACCGCGTCCACAGTACCAAGGCTAGCATCGACTTCCGGAGCATTGCACTGTGGGTAGCTATCCCACAGTTCCTGCAGTCTCTGCCGCCCATTGGAATTCTGGGTTGAGATCCCAATGCCTGATGATGCAAAAACAGTGTCGCGGGGGGTTCTGGGTACATGTCTTCAGGCCCCTCCCCCTCCGTCAGAGCAACGGCAGACAATCTATTTGCGCCTTTTTACCTGGGTTACCTGTGCAGACAACATACCACGGCAAGCATGGAGCCCGTTCAGCTCAGCTCACAGTCACCATATGTCATCTGGGTGCCGGCAGACGTGGTACTGCATTGCTACACAGCAGCAGCTCCTTGCCTTTTGGCAGTGGATGGTGTGTTACGACTGGTATCTGTCGTTGTCGTACTCCCCAATGAGTTCGTTCGGAGGCACCTGAGCAGACATGTTTTGTCTCCTGGAGACTCAGTCCTGCCGGCAGTCCTATTGAACCGTCTTGACGATGATGGCTAGCAGTCGTAATACAGCATCTTCTGCCAAGCACCCAGAAGGTGCCGATGGCTATCAGTCATGCTGCACCATTTGCTGCCAGTTTAAGATGTAAAAAATAGATGGACCAGATTTGTTCTGTATTCATTTGCTTCCCACTCCCTCTGTGAAATCAATGGCCTGCTAAACCCAGGGTTTTGAGTTCAATCTTTGGGGGGGCCATTCTGTGTGACAGTTGTTTGTGTTTCTCCCTGATGCACAGCCACCTTTGTTGATTTTAATTCCCTGTAAGCCATGTCGTCACTCACTCCTCCCTCCCGCCGTCAGACAATAGTTTCGCGCCTTTTTTCAGCCCAGATGCCACAGCACTGTGATCATGGAGCCCGCTCAGATCACCGCGGCAATTATGAGCACTATGAACACCATGCGCATTGTCCTGGAGTATATGCAGAGCCAGAACATGCCAAAGCAAAACCAGGCGAGGAGGCGAGGGTGATAAATATATTCTGGCTGTTGGGGAAACCGGTTTCTCCGCTTCCTTGCCGTGAGCTATCTTCATTGTCGTCATCATCATCATCATCTTCCTCGTACCCCAAACCTGCTTCCCTGTTGCGTGATTCTCCATTGATGGAATCAAAGCACACGGTTGGAGTAGTGGTGGCTGCACCCCCTAGCATGGCATGCAGCTCTGTGTAGAAACGGCATGTTTGCGGCTCTGCCCCGGACCTTCCGTTTGCCTCTCTGGCTTTGTGGTAGGCTTGCCTTAGCTCCTTAATTTTCATGCGGCACTGCTGTGCGTTCCTGTTATGGCCTCTGCCCTTCATGGCCTTTGAGACTTTTTCTAATATTTTGCCATTTCGTTTACAGCTACGGAGTTCAGCTAGCACTGATTCGTTTCCCCATATGGCGAGCAGATCCCGTACCTCCCATTCGGTCCATGCTGGAGCTCTTTTGCGATCCTGGGACTCTATCATGGTTACCTGTGCTGATGAGCTCTGCGTGGTCACCTGTGCTCTCCACGCTGGGCAAACAGGGAATGAAATTCAAAAGTTCGTGGGGCTTTTCCTGTCTACCTGGTCAGTGCATCTGAGTTGAGAGTGCTGTCCTGAGCGGTCACAATGAAGCACTGTGGGATAGCTCCCGGAGGCCAATAACGTCGAATTCCGTCCACACTACCCCAAATCCGACCCGCAAAGGACGATTTCAGCGCTAATCCCCTCGTCGGAGGTGGAGTAAAGAAACCGGTTTAAAGGGCCCTTTAAGTCGAAAAAAAGGGCTTAGTTGTGTGGACGTGTCCAGGCTTAATTCGATTTAACGCTGCTAAATTCGACCTAAACTCGTAGTGTAGGCCAGGCCTAAGAAGAACAGACAGGCCTGTCACCAGAGCTGATCCGGAGCACAGAGGGGTGTGCTCTCTGCCAGGAGCTAAGATTTGGGATGTGGACCTGAGGCTGAAAATGATCCTAATGGGAGCAGGAAAGAATCCACTGATTGTCCCTCATGTGGGAACAAATGACACTAGATTCTCGCATCAAGGGAGACTGTGCCAGGCTGGGGAAGACGCTTAAGGAAATGGAGGCTCCGGTGATCTTCAGTGGGATTCTCCCCTCCCTAGAGGAGGAGAGTGAAGGCGAGACAAGATTAGGATGATCAATAGATGGCTCAGGCAGTGGTGCTATGAGGAGGGCTTTGGGATGTTTGACCGCTGGGAGGCATTCACAGACAGAGGACTGTTCTCATGGGATGGACCAAAACCTGAGTAGGGAGGGAAATAGCCTTTTGGGATGGAGTTGGTGCAACTGATTAAAAGAGCTTTAAACTAGGAACTCGCAGGAGATGGTTGGGAGATGCTCATGTAATCTCCATGCCTGATTCTAATATTGACCTGGAGGAAAATCAAGAAAGAGAGGACACAGCAATGGAGAAAGGACCAGCAGTGGGTAGGCGAATGGACATTAAGAGGAAGGACAGTGCTGATACCATTCAGGAAGGCGATACTGGAAGCAGAATGACTGTGCCCAATTGGGTGAGGAATGTGGGTGAAGCCAAGCAGCAGCAATTAAGATGCCTGTACACCAAGGCAAGGAGACTGGGTAACAAAATGGAGGAACTAGAGCTACTGGTGCAGGAAGTGAAACCAGACACTGTAGGGATAACAGAAACCTGGTGGAATAGGCATGTGACAGGGTTCCCTCCCCACTCTGAACTCTGGGGTACAGATGTGGGGACCCGCATGGGAAAAAAACCCTAAGCTTATTTCTACTAGCTTAGGTTTAAAACTTCCCCAAGGCACAAATTCCTTCCTTGCCCTTGGTATCGCTGCCACCACCAAATGATTTAAACAAACATTCAGGGAAGTCCACTTGGAGCCCTACCTCCCCCAAAATATCCCCCCGAGTCCCTACACCCACTTTCCTGGGGAGGCTTGAGAAAATATGCTAACCAATTGGTTACAAAGTGAGCACAGATCAACCCCCCTGGGTCTTTGTTCTTCAATGTCCTAATCAGGTTCTTAAAAGAAGTTTATTTAAAAAAAAAAAAAGATAAAAGAATCACCTCTGTGAAATCAGGATGGAAGATAACTTTACAGGGTAACAAAAAGATTCAAAACACAGAGGATTTCCCCTCTAGGCAAAACTTTAAAGTTACAAAAACAGGGATAAACCTCCCTCTTAGCATAGGGAAAATTCACATGCTAAAAGAAAAGATAATCTAACGCATTTCTTTGCTATTACTTACTATTTCTGTAATATTAGATGCTTAGTTCAGATATGGCTTAGGGAGATGTATTTTCCCTGCCCTGGTTCCTCACTGACCTGGAGAGTACAAAGGAACACAAAACAAAAACTTTCCCCCACAGATTTGAAAGTATCTTCTCCCCTTATTGGTCCTTTTGGTCAGGTGCCAACCATATCTGAGCTTCTTAACCCTTTACAGGTAAAGGAAGGATTTTATGCTACCCATAGCTGTATGTTTATGACAGCATGACTGGAGTACAAGGATTGAGGGGTATGTGCTGTTCAGGAAAGACCGAAACAAAGGTGGAGGAGTAACATTGTGTGTTAACGATGAGGTAGACTGTAAAGAAATTAGAAGTGATGGAATGGATAAGACAGAGACTGTTTGGGCCAGAATCATTCTGGGGAAGCAGCTACCAGAGGTTCTCCTAGGACAGTGCTTGGGATGTACTACAGACCCCCAAGATCTCTTCAGTGAGGCAGATCTCTACATAAAGACCTCTTCAGTGTTTTTAATGAAATAAATACTACTAGGAATTGTGTGATGATGGGAGACTTTAACTTCCCAGAGATAGATTGGAGGACAAGTGCTACTAATAACAGCAGGGCCCAGGTTTTCCTGGATGTGATAGCTGACAGATTTCTTCACCAAACAGTCGCCGAACCTACAAGAAGCAATTTTATTTTAGATTTGGTATTGGTGAGCAGTGAGGCCCTCATAGAAGAGCTGGTTGCAGGAGACAACCTTGGTTCGAGTGATCATGAGCTAATTCAGTTTAAATTACATGGAAGGATAAACAAAAATTGATCCGCACCGAGGGGCCCTGATTTCAAAAGGACAAACTTTTAATAATGACGGGAATTAGTTAGGGACATGGGCTGGACTGAAGAACCCAAGGATCTGAATGTGGAGGAGGCCTGGAATTACATTGTCGAAGTTCAAAAGCTCTCTGAAGCCTGCATCCCAGGCAAGGGGAACAATTTTGTCAGGAAGGGTTGCGGACCATGCTGGATGAACAAGCATCTCAAACAGGTGATGAAGAGAAAGCAGAAAGTCTATAAGGAATGGATAATGGGAAGGATCAGCGAGGAAAGCAACCTCTGGGGGGTCAGAAACTGTAGGGGAGAAGTGAGAACTGCCAAAAGCCAAGCACAATTGCACCTTGCAAAGGAAATTAAAACCAACAGTTAAAGGTTCTTTAGGCATATAAATAAGAAGAAAACAAGGAAAGAAGAAGTGGAGCTGCTAAACACTGTGGATGGGGTGGAGATTAAAGATTATCTGGGCATAACCCTGGCCCAACCCCAACTCCTAAACGAATACTTTGCCTCGGGTTTTAATAAGGGTAATGAGGAGTTTAGGGGTAGCAGCAGAGTGGATAATGGGAATGAAGATATGGAAGTAGAAATTGCCACATCCGAGGTGGAAGTCAAACTCAAACAGTTCAAGGGGGCAGTGGGGAGGCAGATAATCTCCATCCAAGAATATTAAAGGAACTGGTAC